CGGGCCAAACCGGGCAGCACTCCAGCTGCTCTGACCCAGGCGTCCAAGGCCAGCCGCTGCTGAAACTGACCAGCGGCTGACTCCAGGAAGCCCAGGGCAGAGCACTCCAGCTGCTCTGCCCTGGGCTTCCTGGAGTCAGCTGCTGGTCAGTTTCAGCTGCTGGTCAGTTTCAGCAGTGACTGACTTGGGGAAGTCTGGGGCAGAGCAGATGGGGTGCTTCCAGGTTGGTCCCGTAGCGCCAAGGGGTGCATCCCCCTCACTCCATCCCAGACCCCTCATAGCCCCCCCCCCCTCCTGGGTCCTAAAGGTGCCAGATTATCGGAAGTTTACTGTACAATGGCAAGAGGTAGATGGACAATTCATGCAGGAACTAAGTTTCCTGCCACACAGACCCACATCCAAGCCACCATGCCAGATATAGGCAGCAAATCTGCAGAAAGAAGTCAATGGATCTCTCTGTACCTCTGGTCCCAAAATGTGGAAGATCTTCCACTAATAGAGAAAGTTTGGAACTGAAGTCAGTAGTCCAGAATCTATTTTGTAGTTATTGAGACTTTCAGAGAGGATGCAGAGACATGTGACTGGTGAAGCTGTAGGTTTGTCGTGGCAATGTTTTTATACACTAATTTCAGCACCATGTTTAAAACCTGTTTCATCATGACCATACTCTAAACACCAGTGGTTTTCAAACTATGGGTCGTGACCCAGCACTGGGTTGCATAATGTCAGACACTGGGTCACCTTGCTTGTAGGGTTATCCGATGACTAGTGTGGGGTGGTAGGCAGGCTTCCTGCCTGTCCTGGCACCATGCATTACGCTGCAAATCTGTAGGAGGCAGCAAGGAGGGAGACAGCTGGGACCGCAGGAGCCAATATGCATGGGTAAGCTGGCTTGAAAGCAAACAGTGTAGCATACAATAACAAGGGAGCAGGAAAAATGCTGTCCAAATGATCCTGGGATAAATACCTTGCAATGAATGCTCTGGAGTCTTTAATGGCTACACAAAACTGGCAGGACCTTGGTATGTGTGGCCTCATCCAAAAAATGCATATTCCCTCTTAATACAGTTATTGTGTGCCAAAGGTGATCAGACATACACAAGAACATTTGGGATACTTCATGCTAATAGTAATATTCTCTTTTCATTTCCCATTAGAGGATATTGGATGGACAATGTTCTCTAAAGCTATTTTAATTATTATGTCCATAGACACTTACCACTAGATGTCCTCTTAAGCCTGGACAAGTTTAGAATTGAATCCATCACTAGATTCTCAATTTGGCATAAGGGCAAAACTCTACCTCCAATAGATCTGCATAAAAACACTCACACTTTTCAAGAACTGACAGCTAAAACGGATTCCCTTACCTCCAGAAGTAAGGCCACGAACAAATTGACCCAGATGACAGAGGAAATTAGCCACCAGGCCACAAAATAGATCTTTGACCACCTGAAGAAGGATATTAAAGACAAGAAAAATAAAAATACAAACAATAGTAGGAGACTGACAATTTCACCTTCTAATGAAAATTATTATCCACCACCTTCATCCCTTAGATAGAGCCAGGAATATGCATTGCTATGGACTTACATTTTTTTCTGTAAAAAGCTGCACTATTTTCATAAATAAAACCATAGTCTGAGAGAAACCATTTGTTAAGTTTGGATTGCAATCAGCAGAGGGATAAATGTACTATCCCTCCTCAGAATCCACCCCCAAACACTCCTCACACAAAAACACACTCATATCAGACCGGTGTCACAGTATGAATTCTGAAAAATATGGAGTAAAATATTGGCTCCACCAAAACTGCCAGGGTATAAAGTTCATTGTGCTTTAACCAACTAAGTTTAAGATACCAAAGGAAAAATTAACTTAAAGAAAATCAAGATTCTTAAACTTTATCAATGCCTACTTGATGCAAATAAAATATGCTAGACTGAAACCAGAGGAGACTGAATGCTTCCATTTATGCACAGAATGGATAAAAACAGTAGTACACGCTTCTCCACAATGATCTACTCACACACCTTTAAGTAGGCCTTGAATTCATACAATGTGTGGAAGCAAACTCATATGGAGTTCAATCTCCCTGGTCAATTCAATTCTGGGTTAAATCAACTGCTAGTAAAGATTCCAAATTATTGCTAAATATGACGCCCACTGGGTACTGGACTACTAGTTTACATACACACACAGTTGTCCATTAAGCAGCAAATTTTGGTTACTAATACTTCGGGGGATTTGAAGAGAAGCAGCTCCATAGTAGCAAGCAGACAATAGTTTCACTCCCAGATCATAAGATGTGTGGTTTCTTTAGGTACCAGCTTTATTACTTACGGACTTGAATATCTTGAAAATGCATCCAAGAAAACTTGCCAATTATTCACCACCATGACATCCCAGAGAGTCACTACTGCAGCCTAAGGAACAAGATGAAACAGAGGTTGAGTGCTCTATTGCACTATCAGTAGCTGTTGGAAAACACAGAACACAATCCACTAGCAACCAGACTCACAGCAAAGTCATCAAAGTTGTTTGGCCAATACTCCAACTGCTCGTAGGTCCCACACTGAAAGGTGCTGTTACCGGAAGTTGCATTGACAACACTACAGTGAAATTAGAGTGCAAAGTTATTATAGCATGCTATAGACACTTCCTTTGGTAGAATGCTTCTACTGAGTTGAGTACCTTCCACTGAGTATAGGCAGAAACGGAGCACTAGTTACAGAGAAAGCAGAAAAGGAGCCTGAAAATTTCCAAGAGGGGATGAGCATTCCTGGAGATGCAAAATAGTGGTTGGAAGTTGGAAAGATAGAATAATGGGGGGAGGGGAGGAGAGACACCTGAAAGATTTAAGAGATTAGTGATAGACTGGAGAAAAAGGAAGAGAAAGAGAAGGAAGAAAAACCAAAAGACTCAGAGTGCGAGTCCAAGAATCTTGTCCCAACACAAATTAAAGAGGTACTATAATCAGAAGAGGATACTGAGGATTGAGATACTTATCAAAGAGTCCAGAGAGATAAGAGCAGAGTTATACAGTGGATTTTCAAAAACCAAGAGAATTTTTCCAAATACCACACATTTAGAATAAAATCTTACCTAATATTTCCCATAGGAACAACAGCGCCTTTAAATAGCACTATTCCAGTTATAGCAAATGCATAGAAAACTACCTGGAAAGGAATACACATTAACATTAGTCACTAAAAGGCTCAAAAACTAAATCTGAGTACTGTAAGATAAGCTCCTCAGAGACTGTACAATGTTCAAAAGAAATAGAGTCAATCTAAAACTCGTGGGCTGCGTCTAGACTGGCAAGTTTTTCCACAAAAGCGGGTGCTTTTGCGGAAAAACTTGCCAGCTGTCTACACTGGCCGCTTGATTTTGCACAAAAGCACTGACTTTCTACTGTCTGAAATCAGTGCTTCTTGCACAAATGCTTTGACGTTCCCGTTCGGACAAAAGCCCTTTTCCGGAAATGTTTTTGCACAAGAGGGCCAGTATAGACAGCTAAAAACTGTTTTGTGCAAAAAAGCCCCAATGGCAAAAATGGCGATCGGGGCTTTCTTGCGCAAAACTGCGTCTAGATTGGCATGGACGCTTTTCCGCAAAAAGTGCTTTTGCGGAAAAGCGTCCGTGCCAATCTAGACGCTCTTTTCTGCAAATGCTTTTAACTGAAAGGTTTTTCCGTTAAAAGCATTTGCAGAAAATCATGCCAGTCTAGACGTAGCCATGGTATAACAGAGGTAAGGAAATCTGTTTAAAACAAAGCAATGAGTTATTAGAGGTGTAAGAATTTTTAAAGCCCACTCATTTTTTTGATCTACGCTGTATGCTTTCTTTTCTGTAGTCCATTCAGCTAGGAACTGTTAAAAAAACCTGATGAAGTCACTTTTCTTCATAAGAAGTTTCATTTTCTGGTTCTCAGAGCTGTGATAGCTGAACTACAAACACCACAGAGGAGTGACTGTTAAAAAAATCTTTCTATTGGGATTTTTAAAAAGTTATGGGAAGATTGCTGTTGGACTCTGGGCAATTTCCTAAAAGCAAGCTTCTACCAAACATAAACTCTGACCAAATTTAAATCAGCTATTTCAATTTAACCAGAAACATTTGTAATAGCACAGATGCAATCATGATAAAGTTAAATTTTCAAAAGTGCTTCAGTGCTTTCAAAGCATTTTCCCAATTTTGAAAAAGGACCAACTCCCATTGATTATCAATGAGCAGGGGAGCAGACAGCCTCAACAGGCTCGTGGGCGGGTGGGGGTGCAGCTCCACACCATGAAAAGGGAAGGACTTCAGATGGAAGGAACAAAGCCAGGGCAGGCAGCCCATAGCACCACCTAGACCACCCCACCTCCCCCCGCCTTTAGAGCTGTTTGGAGCGTACAATGTGGTGCTCCAGTGGGGATTTAAAGGGCTTGGGTTTCCGGGAACCACTGCTACTACAGTGGCATTGCTGGGAGACCTGGGGCAGGGGCCTGTTAAGTCCAAAAACAAGACTTACATTTTGAAATCAACTCATGCAATTTTTAAAATTTTAATCACATATCAGGGCTTGCCCTAGAATAACCTTCAAAGAGTTGTCAATGCTTCACAAGTCTTACTGAAGAAAGTATCATTTCCTCCTAGGCTGGCCTGAAATAACATGAGCTTTCTAGAAAAAATGCCAGGATAATTCCAGGTCTCATGTTTCTATATTGTTATTCTAAAAGTCCCAGGAAGGAAAAGGGGATTATACTGAGCTACACACAAGAGGATTTTATGTTGACTACAATTGACTGATATAGCTCCACAATCTGCCAGTAGGTGGGGCATCTGGGTTAGTAATGATAAACCTGTTTTATTCCTTGTAACACCAACTATAAAATTAAGGCGAGCATACACATTCAACAGTTAAAAGAGAAGCTGGCCAATAGATAATTAACATTATAATATTCATAATATATGTTGCAGACTAACATTGGAATAAAATAATTCTCAGATCAACAATAAATATAATAAGGCTTTATCATTCAAGATCAAGTGAACTTAAACTCCAACTTTAACAAAAATATTTGAAATTAGTGACAGTTGAGTGTGCTCAGCCTATTTCCAAAACCGGTCTCAGACTGTACCCACTTGCATGGTCTAGTACAGCCAGGGACGGCTGTTGGCAAGCCTGGTGCCTTCCTAAGTGGGCAGGGCTGTGGATAGTACAGACATGCCACAGAAGCTGCTTGGGCTGTGCACTGGCTCCTAGAAGCTGTGGCCTGACATACGGCTGCTTTCCTGGTAGAGCTCCGCAGCTCCGTGGATACCCACATTATAGCTGCAGATATAAATTTTGAATCTGCTCAGAGCTCCAGCTATTTAGGGCTTTTTTTCCAACAGAGGAAAAATATATTTCCTTAACATTCTTAATGGGCATGGCTGAACTGTTTTAGCTGAAATTTAAAAGAGAGCCTGAGGCAAAAACACTGGACAGGAAATTTCAGCCTGAAGGCTTACAGACTGGTAAAAGTTATAAGCAACTGAAAACATGGTCTTATAATGGAAAGTTGCTACTAGCTCCACATATAATAATAAATGAGGGTGTTGATCACTTAGGAAGGATTGCACTGTTAGGGGGCAAGAAAAAAAACAGCTACTGTGCTGTTTGATGGACAAAAGACATATAGCTTCTGCCATTGTTAGTGGAAACAGTGTATGTACTATTCCCTGGCTTTCTCTATTGAAAGTGTACCCTTTATTATAGCATAATATAGAAAGAGTGGTAATCTCGGGAAGAGGGATAGCTCAGTGGTTTGAGCATTGGCCTACTAAACCAGGGTTATGAGTTCAATCCTTGAGGAGGCCACTTAGGGATTTGGGGCAAAAATTGTCAGGGATGGTACTTAGTCCTGCTGTGAAGGCAGGGGATTGTACTCTATGACCTTTCAAGGTCCCTTCCAGTTCTAGGAGATAGGCAATCTCCATTAATTTAATTGAATGGTAACTCACCACCAACACCCCTGCAAAGGCTCGTAAGTTTTTCACCAGATCCAGCAGTGTACTAGCAACCAAGGCCATGAACTAAAACAAAACACAGAATTCTTAACAATATTTTATGATACAATATATTAGCAGGGCTTAAAACTGTAACAAAAATGATACAAAATGATGGCAGGCTGGGAAAATAAAGCACAGTTTAATACTTTGCACTTCTAGTACAGTGTCTAGTGTGGCAAGGTCCTGACTCATGCCTGGGCTCCTACCTGCTACAATAATACAAGTAATAGCAGAGATTTACACCGATGGATTTCCACATACTGAGTACAGTTAACGAACAAAGCTATACATCCTTGGGAAGTGAATGCCAGGGCTGGCCTTACCATGAGGTGAACTGTGGCGGCCACTAGAACCCAGAGAATTGAGACCTTTCAAAGTTTTGGCCCAAACAAAGGGGGTATGGGGGCGTCATTTGAGCTCCCCTCCACTTAAAGTTTTCAAGCTCCCAGCCTTCATCTCTCTTGAGCAGATTCGCTTTTTTCTTTCTCCCTGCTGAATGGGAGCTTCAAGGCTGCACAGCTCCTTGGGTAACACTGAAATATCCTCAGCAAATCCAGTATCTGCACTTTGCTTTCTTTCTGAAGAGCACTGCTACTTGTATGTCTGCACATGGCTCATTCTAAGTAAACACATTTATTCTTAAGGTAAAAGGATTACAGAGAAAACATATCAATGAAAGAACTTCACGCATGCTAAAAAGCTTATCCTCGGTCACTCCCAGCCCCAGCCAAAGGCTCTGGTAGGTTTACTTCAGTCTTCAAAACCCACAGTAGGTTTTTCCCTCCATGGTTACACGTTAAGATCTCTTTTCTATCCAGAACAAGAATGCAGACTGGGCAGAAATGGCTTAGACCTTTTACCCTGGCCTTCAATAACAGATAAATCAGCAGACAAACATTCAGTCAGGGCAAAACTGTAAAAGACCAGGGTTTTACATAACCAGAGTTAGGGAACTTGAGTAATCCTCTCCTCCTGAATCTCTAAGAAATCCACTTAACTCTGATTGTCCCAAAAGTGCACACTTGTCTGGCACATTTTCAATACAGACTTTAAGTCCCAGGAGTTGCTCTTCTTCAGCTGAGAGTACCTTTCCCAGATCACTCCCATGTGGCTTAGATATTTGTCTCTCTTACCAACAGAAGGTGGGCCAATAAAAGATATTACCTCACCCCATCTGGTTTCTCTAATATTCTGAGATATTAGACACAGCCACAGTTTCACTGCAAGCTTGAAACAAGTCATATTTTTTCACTTTTAATGGGAAAATTCCCATATACAGAATCAGTTCTTCAAATATGGGGTGAAACTGGGCTTGTGTTGTAAGCAGGTTGGTCTTCATAAGAGAATGTAGGAAGTCATTTCAGCCACAAAGAAAAGTGCCCGGGCATTTCACCTTTGTGAATCTGGGTTCAAACTCTGACCTAGATTGCAAGTGAAAATGAAGCCATTGTCTCATCCTCAGTAGTTATTTACACAAATGACAAAAACCCCATTCGATGCCCTCCAAACACAGGACTTGTTCTAGAAATTGGGTGGGAAAGCTTGCACAGCACCTGGCAACAATTGTAAGTTCCTCACTCAGCTGCTCAAGAGGGAGAGCATTAGACTAAAGGTCAGCTACAGGGCAAGCGTACACTGCAGCGGGAATTTCCAGCTTGAGCAGACAGACATGTGCTAGCTGTCATCAAACTAGCGTCCTACCAACAGCAGTGTGGCCTCAGCAACTTGGGTGGCAGCTTTGGCCAGCTGCCAGAGAACATCCCTAGGCTGTTGCACAGGATGTGCTTGGGTGGCTAGCCCATGCTGCTGCAGCTACACTTGGGCCCATATTAACCAATATGCAACTTGGTACTTTTGCACCAATCCCTATTTTGGGCAGGGCATGACCATTGGCATAAAGAGATGGGCAACTGGTAGCTGCAGGGCCACATCTGAACCACCAGGTCATTTTATATGGTCTGCCATCCCCTCAATCAAAGCTAGTATGTGTACACCTATGCATGCTGGAATTACAGCTCACATCTGTATCCAGGCGTATCCAAAGACTTCCCAGAGTTTTGAAGAGTTTCCGCCACAGATGGGCATGTTGTTGCAAGCATGAATGCACTCATTTCTCTCACAGCAGTGCTGTTCCGAGAGTTCTGGGAACACAATGGCTATGTCAAGACAACAGAGTTTTTCAAAACTCCACCGCATCCAGGAAATGCATCTGCTCTTCTGATATTTTTGCGGAACAGCAGATGCACTCTTTCAGAAGCCCTGTCTTCCTCGTTTCATGAGGAAGAGGGACTCTACAAAAAGAGGAGGTTTTTCCAAAATTTGGCACAGTGTAGACGGGCCAAATTTTGGAAAAGCCTCTTCCAAAAAAATAATCGGAAAAAGGTACACAAATTGTGGCGCGCAATTTGCATACCTTTTTCTGACAAAAATTGGCAGTCTAGATATAGTCAATGAAAGCTTCATGCATGCTACTGAATGTACAGCCTCCATGTTTTAAAACAGTGAAGTCAGTTCCAATAGCATCAGCAACTTTCCCTGCTGCTTGACCACAGAAAACTAGATGCACGAAGAAAGCAATGACAAGAAAGAGAGCTGCAGTTTAATGGCCTGGAAAAAGGACTAGGAGCCAGGAGTTTCCAAGCTGTAAACCCAACTCAGGTGCTCTTCAATGCAATCCATCTGAAGATGAAAAGGGTTATTGTTCTGAGAAGATTCTAGGAAGTTTATAATCATTTGCCTAGTTGAGAATTGAGGAAGTAAGTAAAAGCAAGGCACACTTACCTTCATATTAGGGATAATCCGCAGAAATCTAAATACAATTAGCATATTCACCAGGCGCACCATATCCCACAGAGACAGCAACCCCATCATTTCAGGTCTCCTAGGAAAGACACATGAATAACGCAATAAATTAAAGAAATAGTTAATGACACAAAAAACCAAAAGAGAAGCGACTGCTATTAATTTTGTATTTGTTCTTCACAAATTTTGCTCAGCATCTATGGGTAAATCATTTTTAGAAAAAGGAAGGTCTATTTCATCATGTAGGCTCAGCTGCAGGAAATGCTAATGACTGACAAGAAAGGAGAAACCCATAACTGCCATCACATAAGCTACAGTTTTAAATGTGGATAGGACATACAGGCATCTCCAGCTGAAGTCTGAACTGAAGTGCCTGGTCAACTGCTCTTGCTTCTAATAGACTGCCCCTCTCCTGTCTCTTCCAAGGAGACTGAATCCTCGGAAGGGAAGTTTGAATCCTCTGAAAGTTGGATGTAAGTCCTTGTGGAAATTTAAACCTGTGTAGGTGTAGGCTGCATCCATGATGGGCCAGGCTACTACTAATTCATAAGGAGACAAGTTCGGAGTCACAGCGGTGCATTTCATTACTGAAAGGCTGGCAGAATGCCCTACCCGTTTAGGTCCCTTTTTTAAAGTCCATTTAAAAATGTGTGGAGATATACAAGATTTGATGTGATATATTAATTGAAATATTCCAAGAAAAAAGAAAAGTATTGCTCACACTCAAACACTTTTCTACTTTTTTCATTGATCATAAGTATTTCTTTTTATTTTCCCAAGTGGAAACTGATTTTCACAGTAAATGAATTAGCAATGAAAAATACGAAGAGTGTTTAAGTGCAGTTAAAGAAGGGATGCACATTACTGGCTACTATTATGTTAGCAGAATTGATTTTGCTGCACTCAGGCGTCAAACTGCACACTAAATTCAGACAAATCTCGTATGTTCAGCCATGCCGTACAGCTTAACTGAAACAGCATTCTGTACATTACAGGATTGCATCTGAAAACTCAGTGCTAATAATAGTCATCTTTTTCACTGGAACATTGTGAGTTTCTCTTGCTAAGAGGGAAAAGTCTTTTGGAAAATGGGAAACTCCCCAACAAATAAGTGAAAATTCCAAAGCCTTGATTCAGGGGTGCCAGAATACTCAATCCAAATATTAGAGCAAGAACTAAGAAATCACAACACAGGAGACATACTCTGGAAACCTTTTAATAAATACACTACCACTTATGATATGTTTATACTGTGATAAAACCCCACAGCACCAAGGGTATGTCTAGACTACATACCTCTGGCGACAGAGGCATGTAGATTAGGCTACCCGGCATAGGAAAATGAAGCAGCTATGCTTTATTTACATTTAAATGGCTGCCGCGCTGTGCCGATCATCTGTTTGTCGGCTCAGCGAGCTAGTCTGGACGCTCCCACGCCGACCTGAAAACCCTTTATTGACCTCCCCATTATGCCTCATAGGATGAGATTTACCGGGGAGGTCGATAAAGGGCTTTCATGTCGGCAGGGAAGCATCCAGGCTGTCCCGATCCTTTGATGTCGACCATAGAGCGTCCAGACTAGCGCGCTGAGCCGACAAACAGCTGATCGGCTCAGCGCGGCAGGCATTTTTTCTCTGCTTCATTTAAATTTATTTAAATCCCCGCTTCATTTCCCTATGCCGGGTAGCCTAATCTACATGCCTCTGTCGCCAGAGGCATGGAGTCTAGACATACCCCAAGTGTGCATCAGGCTGAGGGGGGCTACAAAATTGCAGTGTAGATGTTCAGACGCAGGCCGGAGCCTGGGTTCTAAGACCTCTACAAGTGGGGAGGGTCCCAAAGCCCAGGATCCAACCTGAGACTGAACATTTGCACTGCAATTTTATATCCTCTTAGCCCTAATCAGCTGACTTGGGCCAGACATGTTCATGCCGTGGGTCTTTTATTGCAATGTAGATATATTCAACAGAGCCAACAATCGGCTAATACATAGTAACTGGCATCACAAGATTCATTCTGATCTCCCTGAACGGTAAGCAGTTTGGGGCAGGGACATTCTTTTCACTTTCTAAGTGTGTTAGTGCCTTTCACAATAGGGTGCAAGATCCCCCACTGGTACCTGTGGATGCTACTGCAATACAAATAGGATATCAAATAATAAAGATGTGCATTCACAAATCAAAGGGCAAAGTTAAGCCCAAATTTGTCAGAGGCATTTATGTGGAAAACTAATTAAATTCAGAGACGCCACTGTAAACAGCTTGTTCATAGCCATTAACAGCCTTCTGACAGAGCCTATTCAACCCCAATATGTTATTCGAAATGCATTCCGTATGAAACGGTTTCATAGAATCATAGAATACTAGGACTGGAAGGGACCTCGAAAGGTCATCGAGTCCAGGCCCCTGCCTTCATGGCAGGACCCAGTACTGTCTAGACCATCCCTGATAGACATTTATCTAACCTACTCTTAAATATTTCCACAGATGGAGATTCCACAACCTCCCTGGGCAATTTATTCCAGTGTTTAACCACTCTAACAGTTAGGAAGTTTTTCCTAACGTCCAACCTAAGCCTCCCTTACTGCAGTTTAAGCCCATTGCTTCTTGTTTTATCCTCAGTTTCTTTAGTTATGACAGCTAACTACCGGGTATCTTGTGCCACTCAAAGATGGGTGTATAAAATAAGACTCCGAACATACTGACCTTAAAGTGGGATATAATTCAAAAGAAAATGGCTTTAAAAGAATTGGCCCTTCAGCTCAGAGAAACAAAATTACATGCCGGAGCCCATTACGAAGGACTCTCACAATACGATGGAGGACATACTCTTTTTCCGAAAGCAAATGGAAGCAGATCCCTTGTCTGACTGTTTAAAGCAGGAATCATCTGTTTTCCTATGTGGAGAGCTGCTGCAGCATGTCACTTTAAAAATTTTATCTATGATTCTTTTTGTTCTACTTCAAGGAAAAGAGCCACTGAAAGGTCAATTTCTGAGCTATGAGAAGCAAAGAGCAGTAATTGAACTACTGGTTGGTTACTGTGTGCATATATCTGAAAGTTCTTTTACCCCAATAGAGAGCTATGGGAGAAATTCTGTATCTACATCAACTTATTTCTACAGCAAAACTCAAACTTAAAGCTACAGTGAAAATTGTTGTATGAGTCTACACAGCTAGGTTTAACTGTACAGAACAAGGTTAGCATGAGCTAATATGTACATTACATTAAATTTAATTTCATACACTTTTAGAAAAGCACTAAAAAGGGACACAAGCTATTTCTCCAAGTCTGTTCTGCTTTCATTCTAAGACAGACCCCCCAAGGTACACGTCTTCTCTCAGAACAGCAGACAAAATATTCTGTCAGATATCTAACAGCAGTATTCTCCCAGTTCTCTGTATTGCCTGACCTCTAGTGACTGCAGAGATGAATTATTGACATTGCTTTTAATAGGTGCGGCAAGTTGTAGTAGGCAGTTGTTTTTAATAGGTTTGGCAGCAAGCATATATAGACAAACACCTAATAGGCATCATGTTTGAAAAATAAGAACAATTGCTATTTTATAAACAGTTGTCCATGGTTGTTGAACCAATGAAAATACATGTGAGTCACTATATTATTGCCATGTAAATTTTTAGCCAGGGTCTTTTAAGTCCCAACATCAGTTGTTTCCTTATGCTACAATTTTTAGAGGAGCTATTAAATGCTTACGAAAATACATACCAGCCTGGATGAGGAAATCCATACACCGCAAATGTTGAGACCTCCAAAACCTTTTATTACAAAAGAAGAGAAGCAAAACTGCAGCAACTCTAATGTCAGTTTGGTGAACTAAAATCAAGAATTTGATTTCAAACTTCTTCCAAATGGACAGTGACGAGAGTTCTAGTTAGTAATTTGACCCATTGTAAAGCTAGGTAATTGTCACTTTCTGCTATCGGATTGCAAAATTACTCCTGCTTCCCTACCCAAATCCAGTGGTGGGAAGTAACACCTTACTACTTCAACAGAAATAAGTTAGAGCGCATGCAGGCTTTTATTTAGGTTTAGGACCTAGTAGCAGGCAAGTGAGTAGTTTCAGAACTCCAATAATTTCAGAGAAACTAATTCTACGGAATCCAAATTGAAAATGGCAACTTATAGAATTTAGAATAAGTTAGAATTTTTCTTGTAAAGTTACAAGAATATCATGAGTGAAACAACTTTAAAATATAAACAAAATGAAAGCTTGTATTGCTGTTCTATGAAAGCATTTTTACAGGGTATTGAGAATTGGAGGTTTTCACAGAAGCCTAAGGAAAGTGCCCACATTCTACTGCATTTAAATTGGATTTAAGCCCTAACTCCCTACATCTTCCCAGTCTGAGTGATTACAAAAAGCAATGTTCTCCATTCAAATCCAGCATGTATGGATAATTATTTTCCCTCCCTCACATTAAACTGGAAAAGGCTTCTTGGTTTAAACCCAGAAACTTTTCTCTTGGGCGAAAACTAAACAAACATACTTTGCTAGTTGGGAAAAAAGGAGAAAAAGCAACTGGTGGCTCTTAAGTGGGCACAGAATATTGAATTTAGACCTGGTCTAAGGAAGTATTAATACATTACACCAGGCTTGAAACTGGTCTCAGATGACCAGCGAATTCTCTTATTTCATCAAATAACTACATTAATTATTAGTCTGCTACTCCTGGCCCAAATGGTAGGGTTATTGCAGATTATGTAAAATGCAATACCTCCTCTTATTGTAACTTTTGTTTGAGACTGAGGCAGTGTGTGGAGAAGCTTATCCCTCCAAACATCTATCTCCAAAATGAGGGGTAAAACATATCTACTGATATTCAAAGATCAAGACTAAATTTAATTTCAATATATATTGATCAGTTTCTTACATGTGCCAAATCATTATCTTATTGACTCAACCAAATAATTCTGATCTTAGATCTGGGTTATCCTAGAAACTCACTTTCACGAACACAGTGGAAGTTATCCATTGACTTACCAAAAGAATTACAGTCAAAAGTCCATCAAATCTATTGCTTGGGTATGATAAATATCTTTTAAATCCCATTGCCAATATTTTCAGCAGCATTTCCAGCAGATAGTACAGGATAAAAAAACAATTTATAGCCTTGAAGGTGTAAAATAAAGAACATCATTAGCATGAAGCTTTGAGGACCAACAGCAACCACATAGGACACTTGATATTTCTTACCCCCAAGAAGTAGTCATCTCGTTCAGAAGGCTGCTTATCTGCATCCATTACCAAAACCACCTGGAAACAAAAAAACCTCTGGTCAATCACCAGTTGGCTGATGAACACTAGAACACACATCAAATCAAAGTGCCACATCAGATCAAGACTGTCTCTTGATATAGTAGGGCAAGTTAAACACCTGAAAAAACAGAATTGCTTTTTCACCTCTCTGACCCTCAGTTTCTCCATCTGTAAAATGGGAACAATGGCATTGTTCTCCTTTGCAAAGCACTTTGAGATCTACTAATAAGAAATACTATGCAAGAGCTAGTTACAGTAAAACTCCAGTAGTCCGGCATCCAATTGTCCGGCACTCCTGATAGTCTGGCATAGTGCACGGGTGGCCAACCCGATGCACCTGATGGAAAAAAATTGCGGCTCCTGACGGAACCAGGATGGAACCTGGAACCGCTCAGGTCAGCCGCTTTCAGGGCTGGACCGCTGTGAGCCGCATGCGCACTCACAGCCTGCACCATTCTGTTCATGGCCCCCAGTGCACTGCGTCATACCCTGCACATGCACACAGCATCCCAGCCTGCACGTGCTAGCAGCCAGCTGCTGAGCGCAGCCAGCTGCTCCGGGAACCAGACATAAGGTTGGGGGGGAGAGATGTCTGGCTCTGGAGAAAAGGAGGGATATCGGGGGGAGGGAGGGGACGTGGTGCGCATGACATCCCAGATACAGCGCAGCGGCTCTGACTCTGGGACCCAAGCATAAGGTTGGGGCGGGGGGGATTGGGTTACAGCAGGAAGGAGAGGGGGTTGGGTCTGGAGGGGGG